TCAACTTCAGGAATCGTTTCAGATGCCTTCGAGGGAGACTTCTGATCCTCATTTTCCAACATAATAAAAAACAAAATATATATATATATATATATATATATATATATATATATATATATATATATAACTCGGCAATACGCTTTCAAGTACGAACAAAAATGCTAAACAAGCAACACGATAAACTGACAGAAAATAACATTGCATGTAACTAGCGTTGGTAATTCTCGGGGAGAAAATGGAGGTATTTTACCTCAATGATGATTCATTAAACCCGCTTGGTATCTTTTTGCAAATATCCAAATTAGACGAGGACAAGAGGAACTCTCTTGTGTATGAATTTTTTAGCTTCCTAAACAATCAAAAAAAACTTTGTTATTTCACCCAAATAATGATAATCAGATTTGAAGATAACAAAATCAATGGAAAAAGAGCAAGGAAAATTACTTTTCAACTTCAGAAATCGTTTCAGATGCCTCGGAGGGAGACTTGTGATCCTCATTTTTCAAGATCATTTTGCTATCTTGATCGCTTTGCCTAGAAAATTGGCTTCCCCGTCTTCCATAAATGCCTTGAGAGTAATTATCAAAATCTCCTCGAGTAATCAACAATGAGCCATACTCGATGCATCTGAACCCCGTTGATAACAAGTTCCCAGACATTCTTGGTCGATCATGTATGCTTTGCGAGCCATCCTCAAATTTATTGTCTCATTCAACAATATATATATATAACTCGGCGATACGCTTTCAAGTACATACAAAAAATGCCAAACAAGCAACACGATAAACTGACAGAAAATAACATTGCATGTAACTAGCATTGGTAATTCTCGAGGAGAAAATGAAGGTATTTTACCTCAATGATGATTCATCAAACCCACTTGGTAACTTTTTACAAATATCCAAATTAGACAAGGACAAGAGGAACTCTCTTGTGTATGAAATTTTCAGCTTCCTAAATAAATCAAAACAACTTTGTTATTTCTTCCAAATAATAATAATCTGATTTGAAGATAACAAAATCAATGGGAAAAAAGCAAGGGAAATTACTTTTCAACTTCGGGAATCGTTTCAAATGCCTCGGAGGGAGACTTCTGATCTTCATTTTCCAAGCTCATTCTGCTATTCCCACGAAAAATAACCTCTCAACAAGCTTAAAAAATGCAGTTCCAATCGCAAAATCATGCCTTTTTACCAAATCAGATCCAACCATACAAAAACATACTCTCTAAACCCAGCTACCCAATCAAAATAAACCCCCAAATTTCTCAAACTCCAAAATATTCAATCCGATTCAATAAAATCATATTCAAGTCCATGCTAATTGATCTGGAAAATGCCTAGACAAGTACATCCAGCTCACCTAATTCATCAAAATCCCATTTTTTTGCACCGAATTTAATCCCTTTTTTGGCCCTATGCCAGATTAACAAATCTCAAGTTCATCTAAAATACCACCCTAATCTAAAACAGCTCCTCATTTGGCTTCCACCTGGATCAGAGAAAGATATAAAATTAGGGTATAAATTTCTAGGCGTTGTTCCTATTTCCGACAGAAAATGATACTATACATATGCAAATATGTATATATTTGGCCTCCCGGGGCATAGTCTAGTTGTGCAAAGGACAAGAGTGAGATTATCTTATGCCTTGTTGGCAGCTGTAATGTGGGGGTTCGATTCCTGAGACATGGAATTGGACTCCTTGTAGGCACAGTGTACAGACAGCTCTTGTTCCCTTGCCTGCTGGAGCACATCTCGCGATTCACCTCCCTCACAAAACTCTAGGGGCGGGGCGATGAGGGCCCTCAAAGTTGGGGTTCAACTTTTATATATATATATATATATATTTGGGATTTGAATATTTGAATTATGATTAAAATAATAGGATTTTTCACTACGCGCCTTTATTATTGCGGCCTACACGCTTTTTAGGATTGGTTGAAGGCGTATGCTTGGAGTTTATTAATTGGAAAGTGTTGATGAAATGAACCAGAAAAATCAAGGGGGCGTAGTTCTTCATAACTTTTGGTCCAATAATTAGAAGAGCCAATTAAAATTTGATAATTATATTAATAGTCCAATATTTATAAATTAGACATCGTCATCAATGTTAGGGGTGCAAAATTAGAGTCGAGCTAGGTTAGTCCATAAAGACCACAAGAAGTTCAAAAATATTTGTACATTTGGTCACAGAAAAGGCCCAAATAAATACGACTAGTTTAAAAGTTCACTATTGACATATTTTAATAGACAATATTAGGTCAATTGATTTATAGGAAACGAACAAAGCGAAAAGCGGGCTCTCTACATCCCAAGCCTTAATTGGTTTCCATGATCTGTAAAATAAATATGAATGATAACAATAATAATGTTGAGTTGGTTTTTGTTTCGTAATCACTTGCTTTTCTCTTTGGGATTACAACGGGGGAGTCAATATGAGATCAAATTATCTCTTTTCTCGCTCTCATTTCTTCAAGCCGGAGATTAAAAATAAGTTCTTATGATGGTGGGGGGTCAAAATTCAAATCTTTAGTAGATTTTGATAAGAGTTCATGAAATACGTAGTTGAAAATTTGTAAATCTCATGAAATATGGAATTAAAATTAATTATTAGTTTTAACTTAGATTAAAATCAAGATTTTAATTCCCACAAAATAAGGACTAAAATTGATGATAGATTCAACATGATCCTTCCCCGAATTTCTAACTATCAGCATTTCTGACTAATCGGGAAATCATGACCCATTCAAGGCAGGACGGGAAGGGTACTTGCCATCCCAATTTTCATTCTAAACCTATGTTAGTGGAAATTATTAATAACTTTATAAGGAAATAGTATTGAACTTTTACGAAATGCATGGATAATAAATGAATAGTAATTATAAATAAGTTATTGAAACTAATACTTAACTATGATCAAATAGAAAATTAATTTTTTGAAAGACAAAAGGAGGCTAAATATTAAAAAGAATAATGCTACATATGCATAAGGAGTTAGAGAAAGTTTTACAGGTAGATGAGTGTAAGGAAGAGAGGAGAAATTTTTTTATATGGTTAAAATTTTTTGATCCAATCATATTTCACTTCATCATATATATGTACATTAATGTATAAGTGGTGGTGTATATTTAAGCACCTGTTTGGCCCCTATTTTTTGGATATAAAAAGTGATGGAATAGTATTTTTTCGAAAAATGAGTAGTTAAAGAAGAATGAAATGCTTTCGATTTACGTGTAATATTATTTTATGAAAAATTGTATGGTTGAAAATAGGAGAGAGAAAAATGAAATAGAATTAGGTTAATTTCATAAACGGTCATTGAACTTACCTGAAAATTACAAAACGGTCATTGAAGTTTAAAACTTACAGAAACGATCACTAAAGTTTAGAGCGCTTTCAGAAAGGGTCACTGAAATTTACAAACTTGTAAAAATGGCACTATTAGGACCGTTATGATTTAATTCAAACTTAAAGGACCAAAACAAGTGAATATAGATCTTTAGGACCAAACCATCAAAAATTGAAAAAATAAACTCTCTCTATTTTTGAGCGAGTTTTACGACAATTTTTTGGCAACTTATGACCACCAAAACCGTTGGATTTGGATACTATTGGAAAGCCCACAATGTCTTCTTCAATTATCACCCAAAATCTTCCCATAACTTTAAAGGATTCAACCAAAATAAATCCACAAATTCGGCTCCCCGAACTTTGAGAATCTGCTTAGATTTTTCAAATTTTTGGGTGAGTTTTATGGCAATTTTCAAAAACTTTCAACTACCAAAATCATCGAATTTGAATACCGTTGGAAAGCCTACAATGTCCTCTTCAATTACCATTCAAAATATTCTAACTTCAAAGAATTTGATCAGAATAAACCCATAAAGTCAACTCTCCGAAATCGAAAAATCTGCCCATATTTTTTGGTGAGTTTTGCGACAATTTTTCAGAAACTTCCGACTACCAAAACAATCGAATTTCGATATCATTCAATTTCCTGTTCAATTACCACCCCAAAATCTTCTCATAACTCCAAATGAATCGACCGGAATAAACCTACAAAATAAGCTCCCCGAAATCTGGAAATCTGCCCAAATTTTTTAGATTTTTGAGCGAGTTTTGCAGCAATTTTTTGGGAACTTCTGATCACCAAGATTGTCGGATTTGGATACCGTTGGAAAGTCCACAATGTCATCTTCAATTACAACCCAAAATCTCTCATAACTCCAACGGACTTGATCAGAATAAAACCCCAAAATCAACCCCCTAAATTGGAAAATCTACCCATATTTTTTAGATTTTTGGACGTGTTTTGCGACAATTTTCTGAAAATTTTAGATCACCAAAACAGTCAAATTTGGATACCCTTGGAAAGCCGACAATGTGCTCTATAATTATCATCCAAAATTTTCCCATAACTCCAAAGGATTTGACAGGAATAAACCCACAAAATCAACTCCTTGAAATATCGACTTTGTGGGTTTATTCCAATCGAATCTTTTGGAGTTATCGGGAGATTTTGGGTGGTAATTGAAGATGACATTGTGAGCGTCGAATTTAGATGGTCGGAAGTTGTCGCAAAATTGTCCCAAAATTTGCCCAAAAATAGAGAGAGTTTATTATGTCAAGTTTTGATGATTTGGTTCTTATGGTTCTATATTCACATGTTTTGGTCCTTTAAGTTTGAATTAAATCATAACGATTTTAAGAATGACCGTTTCTACAAGTTTGTAAATTTCAGTGTCTATTTCTGAAAGCACTCTAAACTTCAGTAATCATTTTTACAAGTTTTAAATTTCAATGACCGTTTGCAATTTTCAGATAAGTTCAGTTATCATTCATGAAATTAACTCAATAGAATTTAATGGGGTCAAATGGGAGCGCAGTACAACCGTTTAAAATTTATCATTTATGTATCAATTACAACCATAAGCTAAAGTGGAGTGGCTCGCTGGTAATTTCTCAAAAATTGAGTCCCATTTTATCATTTTTAAATCTACTCTTACCTCTCTGTCTCATACAGAGAAGCTTACTCTACCCAATATCCACGAGCACCTCTGTACACCTCCAATGGCATTATCTCCGGCCCTTTTACACTCCGCCGGATCCACATTCTACGGCCAGTTACCTCCGACATCCGTGCGTTTAACGTCTGCCACACGCTGCCCTTGTTCCGGTGGCTTGTTGGTTACCGCTATGTCATCGGTGGTCCTCGTAGAGAAAAGCGAAGCCGAGAAAGTCAACCGTCTCAAAACCACTTACCTCGAGAAAATCGTCCCCTTGCTCAAAGAAGAGTTCAAATACACCAATGTTCACCAGGTATATAGCACGTTGCTCAGATTATTATTTTTGGCAATTAAATTTTAATTTTCTATTTGCTGAAAATAAAGCGCGAGATAAATTTCGGTGAATTCTTTATTTTTTTCCTTCGAATTATTGGGAAATAATAAAATTTAAGAATGATGCATACATTATAGAATATACTGAATTAACGGTTAGCTATCTAGAACTATTCAGATTAAATATTGTTAAGAAATCGTAGTAAATGCTTAGCCTTAAATGTTAAACCAATTTTGTATTAAGGTAAATAGAATTATGTTTTTTTTTTTTTTTTTTTTTTTTTTTTTTTGTTAATGTGCTTGACTTGCATCGGATTTGTGGTAGGTTCCAACAGTCGAAAAGATTGTGGTGAACTGTGGTATTGGAGATGCTGCGCAAAATGCAAAGGGCTTGGATGCAGCTATAAATGATTTGGCACTTATCACGGGTCAAAGGCCAATAAAGACGAGAGCAAAGAATGCTATTGCCACCTTTAAGATAAGAGAAGGCCAACCACTTGGAATTGCAGTTACTCTAAGAGGAAACGTGAGCTATTTACTGTGACTGCTGCATGATGTCTTATGTTTGTTGTGATGATTTGAATGTTTTTGGTGTAGAAATGATAAGATTTGCTTAGTTACAGTGCTATTTTACAATTTAGCTGGGAGGGGTATACATAGACTGAGTTGCATTCACTCTAGACTTGGGACTAGGATGGATATTTATAAAATTTTCATTCGGAAGAATGTTAATTGGACTATCTTTCATATCCAGCCTAAACCCATCTCTACTCCATATTATGTTGTCTTGTAACTTAAGAAAGATAGACCGTGCAAAAAACATTCTTTTAAACAAAAAACTGAAAAATATTATTTGCCTTAATCCACCCAATTACAACCTATTTACTATATCTACTTTTATACCTAATTACTTATACAGTGTAATTCGGTGTACCAAACACTACCTTTATTGTCTCCATTAACTCCAACAAATGATCTCCCGTGTACTGGCTATGGAAAGGGAGGACTATCAATGGCGGCACCCCATTGTACCCCATGCATCTCTACCTACGTGAGACAACATAGAGGAGTGCCAAAACCACATACCAAACAAAGAAAAATCTTTAACGTTCATGGTTTGTTGCATTGTGCAAATTACAGATTTGAGCACTATGTTGAATACATCTTAACAAAACATATTGGGATTGAAGCTGCAATATTCTTTTTTAGTTCAGAGTGTTTGTGGATTGCAGGATTCAATTGGTCTTCATGAATGAACCCATTAGGACTGTGTGATATACATACCCCCCGTTTGGCCCCCATTTTCTAGAAATGAAAATGGGTGGAATAGTATTTTTTTGAAAAATAAATGGTTGAAAATAAAGGAAAAATTTTTTATTTACGTATAATATTATTTTATGAAAGATTGTACGGTTGAAAGTAGGATAGAGACTAATGAAATATAATGTAATGAAATTTAATGGGGGCCAAATGGGAGCATAATGTGTAACGGCCTGCTGATGTACCATTGGACTTAAATTTTTAGGCTGGCTGAGAGTAATGAATTGTCTATTATGCAATATATCTACAATTGATTCTGGTGTCTTGTCCCTCAAATGATTTAGAAGATATTATGACATAATACATTAGAGGAAAAACATCGTATGGAATTGAGCATATTGATCCTTGTGTACCAAATCATGCACAGTTTAGTAGCTAATAAAATGTTAAAAATGAATTTGTTGCCAGCCATTACTTAAATTTCCATGCCTCGACGATGTCAAATGTAAGTCTTGGAACACAGTGTTGGCTGTTGCCTTATGCCTAGTCAGACTCATTTCATCTCATCCATTAAGAAACAACATTTCAAATATATATAATGGTGAACCATATGCTTTGTGCTCATCATTACTTATTTACGACAGGTGATGTACTCTTTTCTTGATCGGCTCATTAATCTGGGACTTCCTAGGACTAGGGATTTTCAAGGGGTAAGCTCCAATAGTTTTGATGGACATGGAAACTACAGCATTGGCTTCCGTGAACAGAGCGTTTTCCCGGAGATAAGTTATGATATACTTGGTAAGCCACGGGGAATGGATGTTTGCATAACCACAACAGCAAATACAGATAAAGAAGCCCATAAATTACTTGCTCTAATGGGAATGCCATTTAGAGAAGGTGGTGGTGGCCCCACAACCGTGGTGCGGAAGAAGAAACTTAAATCACACCATTTTGACTCCAAGTCAAAATCAAAGCAAAGAACCAAGAAGAGGTAAACCTCTGTCTTTTGTCAAGGAATCAAGCGCTCGTTTAGGTTAACTGTAAAATGAAAATAGTCTAATTTCTGGTTGATACTATTGTTCATTTGTATTATTCTGTATTTGGCTGGTTTTTTCCACGATGTAATGTTTAGCAAAATGCGATGTTTGGAACATAAGCTAATCAATCTCACATAGCTTCCCGATCCTGCAATCCTCTAATAAAGTAGCTTAAACATTGACTAAAATATATTGAGTCGAAGCAATGTTTGAACTTCAACTTGAACTTGATTGATGTTGATATACTGGTCATTTTGTGTCAAAATTATCGATTGTTTGTTCCAAATCAGTATCTTTCATTCTGCGAATGGAAATTGATGTAATGTGTACTTCATTTAGCCTCAGAGCCCACTAAATGCATAGTCGCGAGAATCTTACCTCAATCAGAGTTCATCTCGTATACGAAATGTCCCCTCATAGAGGCTGTTAGTGTAGGGTAGATGAAAGGTGCTTGCAAGTTAAAACAGTGTCAAGAAAATTTCGTTCCTAAAAAGAAGAGTGTGTACGTTCCTTGATCGAGGCACGAGTGTTCCATTTCTCCAAGAAATAGACGATATTAGTGGTGATTGAATACTAGTCCAACTGGTCGAGATAAACATTTATCTTAAGGATAACAATCAACCTATTGGGGCCTCGAATACAAGAGCCTGCAAAGGATTCAATCTTAGGTTTAACACTAACAGGAAAAATGAAAGCAAGAATAACACGTGAAATAATATGCTTCATTCTTAATACGAGAGTTATTGCATCAAGTATAGCTGATAAAATATACTATTTTTAAGAAGAGAATTACAACGTTTTTTAAATTCCTGCCATTTTTTTCTTTATACTATGATACACAGAGAATAGAGGCTTGTCTTAATACTTTTTTTTATCTAGAAAGAAATATTGGAATGACTTAATACATTAGGGGGCATTTGTTTCCCATTTTTGTAAAAATAAGAACAAAAAATATAGTCGATATGAACTCCACACGAGATATAGAAATTCAAATTTGGTGGTTTGATGTAATGGATAACAGTCATATTTTTCATTTTAATGAAAAAAGAATGGGAAACAAACAGAGGCTTAAGCGAATTTTTCAAAATACCTTGTAATATTAGGTCAGGCTATGGTCGAGTGAAAAAGTGTAAAATATATTATGCTCCGCAAATTGGCATCAATAATCAAATTATCCACTAGTAATTCGTTGGACACCACCTGAACTCTAGTGGCAAGTCTAGTGAGGTGAGCTCAACATATATATATATATATATATATATATATATATATATTTGGGGATCCCCGTAAAGAAGTAACAAAAATCACTAACACAAGCTTCCAACAATCAGAAATTCAAAATTTAACTCTAATTGGCTCATCTCAGCATGTTCTTGAAAAAAACTCAGTTCAACTCCTCTTTTACAACATTCAATAGAAAGATAATATGATCAATACAAGGTTGTAAAACCTAAGTACAATGTTTATCATATCCCAATATCTCCATTAAAACTATTGTTCACTCCCTTTTGGGGAATTTTTTACGTGTCCAATACAGATTCCTACAGATGTCGGTATTCTTTAGGCTTACATCAAGCGATGACATTCCTCAGTGAGTCGGGTCTGGGTTAAGTTTTACGGATTCCATCCAAATGAGCTCCTTGATATTCTCTTCAGTGAATGATGGCTGCTCGAAATCAAAAACGAAAGGCTGAGGGCAAACAAGCTCCTCGTTGATTTCATGAAGAGGGGCCAAGTATGGATGGCAAATAGCCTCATCAACTGCGATGGGACCAAGAAAGAATGGAACATTAATCAAAAGGTCGGGATAAGCAAAAAAAACTGAAGCCAAGAAAAAAATCAGAAAAAATTCAGTAAATGGACTTGGAATTCTCCTTACTCGTTCCCATAACGTTGCAGAAACTCATCGTTAGGTTTTGAGCACGTCAGAGCTAAGCGTAAAAAGTTTCCTTGTAAGATTGTTTTAAAATTAAGAACTCTTTTGGTTGATCAGTTACTTATATTTTGACAATAAGTTACAAGTCACTTTCAAAATAAGTAGCTATTTTTACTTGAAATTAAGAAAAAATGACGTGCCCAATATGTTTGGAAACAGAAGTTGCTGAAAACATGCTCTTTTAATTCAAAGCCCAACAATCAGAAATTCAAAATTTAACTCTAATTGGCTCATCTCAGCATGTTCTTGAAAAAAACTCAGTTCAACTCCTCTTTTACAACATTCAATAGAAAGATAATATGATCAATACAAGGTTGTAAAACCTAAGTACGATGTTTATCATATCCCAATATCTCCATTAAAACTATTGTTCACTCCCTTTTGGGGAATTTTTTATGTGTCCAACACAGATTCCTACAGATGTCGGTATTCTTTCGGCTTACATCAAGCGATGACATTCCTCAGTGAGTCGGGTCTGGGTTAAGTTTTACGGATTCCATCCAAATGAGCTCCTTGATATTCTCTTCAGTGAATGATGGCTGCTCGAAATCAAAAACGAAAGGCTGAGGGCAAACAAGCTCCTCGTTGATTTCATGAAGAGGGGCCAAGTATGGATGGCAAATAGCCTCATCAACTGCGATGGGACCAAGAAAGAATGGAACGTTAATCAAAAGGTCGGGATAAGCAAAAAAACTGAAGCCAAGAAAAAAATCAGAAAAAATTCAGTAAATGGACTTGGAATTCTCCTTACTCGTTCCCATAACGTTGCAGAAACTCATCGCTAGGTTTTGAGCGCGTCAGAGCTAAGCGTAAAAAGTTTCCTTGTAAGATTGTTTTAAAATTAAGAACTCTTTTGGTTGATCAGTTACTTATATTTTGACAATAAGTTAAAAGTCACTTCCAAAATAAGTAGCTATTTTTACTTGAAATTAAGAAAAAATGACGTGCCCAATATGTTTGGAAACAGAAGTTGCTGAAAACATGCTCTTTTAATTCAAAGGAATCAAGATTCGACTGAAATCAACACTATACCAGTAATGCGTTTGCTTGGGTCAAAAACAAGCATTTTCTCAAGTAAATCCAGAGCTCCAGGAGAAGTGTTTGGAAATCTGGCAGAAAATTGTTGCCTTGGATACTGCGGAAGCTGCCTAACATATCTTCGGGCATTGTCACTTCTCAGAAATCCGAGACTGGCATCATCAGGTGAACCTATAAGCTTTTAAAACCCAAAGACATGATTCAATGTCAGGACGAAAACTGTCAGTAACAGAATACAAAAACAGAGGCTTTGCTATCTCTGTAGATAAAATTTAATTGAGATACTAATGATATCATATGCATGGAACCTCAAATTTGAGCGAGCCACCATCATGGGATCACACTTTAACTTTAGGAACCCATTTCTCAAGAGATTATTTTAGCATTAGTAAGATCTTAAGATTCAAATTGACTTTTTACAATAAGCGATAAAGGTATGATACTTTTCTCTAGTGAACAATGAATCAACATATAGACCCCCATGGAACACAGATTTTTAACAAGTAACCACAGTACTACTCAGACTACTCCGCAATCAGAAATTCAAGAAGACAAGGATAACAATAAAAAACAGAAGCAGAAAAAAGATAAATTAGAAAAGGAACATATAAATTATTCCTTTCCCTCATTTTTTAAAAATATTGGTTTTTTATTTTATATTTAGGAATGAATGCGATCCATCCTACATCATTAATAGTCAACTGCACAAGATGCCCAATCTATCTCTGGTAA